GGACTAAGGATGTTAAATTTAGATTAATCAACTAATCAAATCGTCAATGCAATTTTCATCAACTATTTGATTAGTCAATAGGGGCACCTCCCCCTGCCTGCTCCTGCTACATTTCAAAGGTGGAAGTGCTGGGGTGAGTACAGGGCCAGCAGGGGACTCAAGCAGTCCCTCACTGGCCCCGCGCGCCCTGCTTTTGAAATGTATAAGAGGCCCCTTTGTACATTTCAAAACCAGGGAGCGCGGGGCCAGCAGGTGATTGCTTGAGTCCCACACTCGCCCCCTGCTCCTGTGGCACTTCTGCTTTTGAAATGTAGCAAGAGCCCGCCCCTTCCCTCTGTCTCTCTCTGATAGAGGCAGCAAGGGGGGAAGCAACTAGTCAAGTCGATTATCTGATAAGCATATGCTTATTGGAGAGTCAACTAGTCCCTTACATCCCTACCATGGACATGACTGATGTAACAATCATGGGATCCCATCTCTAACAGTGGAGCAGAGAATAGTGAGCCACCAGGTGTAGGCAAGCTCTTAAAGGGACGGTGTCTTAGAAACAGAGAACAAGGGAAATACAGCTAAATGGAGCAGAGAGCAGGAGAGAATACTGTCCTCAGTTCTCCTTGGGCAAGTGGAAGAGGGAAGAGTGGATGTGAGAAACACGTGCACCAGCCATAAAGGGGAATGAGAGAACCTCTGTTTAGTGCAGGGCCAGAATGGAATTACAAAGGCTGCCAGGGCTGGGGATTTTTGCTGGCCACCCGTAATTCAGCAGAGAGGAGAGAAGTGTTACATCCTTCCATTCAAAAATTCCTTGTCTCCCAACTTCTTTATCCTCCCACTTACTCCACCCAGCCTGCTTCCCCGTCTCCCTTGGAATGGAAGAGTGGAGAGTCCATCTGCGTGGAGAACAATAAAAAAGAAAAGCTAAGCTAAAGTGAAAAGCTGCCAAGGGGGCTGAAGGGAGGGGGCAGGAATGAGACAGGCCACGTGACAGAGGAACAGAGGCCTCGTTAGCGTGAGCTGTCACTATGAATCAAGAGTGGCTCATTTCAATAAGGGAAAAAAGGACCCAAACACAGTAACAATCCAGTACATACAGCAGCTCTTGAGAAAAGCCTGTCAGCACAGCTGCTCCTCTGAGACCCTTCTGGAGCCTAAGAGACCAGCCCCATGAAGCCGAGCAGAAAAGGCGGCTGCAGAACAGAGCAGACAGGTCAGGCGTAAGCAAAGGAAGAGCAGAATCTTGGTGATTCAAAGGCAGAGCCTGAAGGAAGAGTTACACTAGATCCCACCACCGCTGACTCCCAAGAAGGAGGGAGGGAGAGCAATGGAGAAATTGTTTGCCCTCCCCCAACTGAACTCAGATATATTACCTGGAATTCTCCTTTCCATGGACCTCATCTCTCCCTGGCTACGTCTACACTGGCATGATTTTCCGAAAATGCTTTTAACGGAAAACTTTTCCGTTAAAAGCATTTTCGGAAAAGCGCGTCTAGATTGGCACTTTTTGCAGAAAAGTGTCCGTGGCCAATCTAGACGTGCTTTTCCGCAAAAAAGCCCCGATCGCCATTTTTGCGATCGGGGCTTTTTTGCGGAAAACAAATCTCAGCTGTCTACACTGGCCCTTTTGTGCAAAACTTTTGCAGAAAAAGACTTTTGCCCGAACGGGAGCAGCTAAGTATTTCCGCAAGAAGCACTGATTTCTTACAGTAGGAAGTCAGAGCTTTTGCGGAAATTCAAGTGCCCAGTGTAGACAGCTGGCAGGTTTTTCCGGAAAAGCAGATGATTTTCCGGAAAAACTTGCCAGTCTAGACACAGCCCCTGTGTCTGTGCCTAGGGGCATAAGATACCCATGCAGCCACTGTGGCACCACTGTTGGAGGCCTAGGTATCCGACATAATCTCTGCTGATAACTGCTTCCCTGGTGATGGGAGTTAAGGGCAGAAAGTCCCCCACTAGATCCCTTAAACCCTTCAGCACCAGAGGGACAAGGAAGAAATTTACATCCAAGTTTCCCCTCCCCCTTCCTTTCAAAAACCTGGAAGCCCCCCAAGCCACACAGGTGACCTGTCACATGTTCACGATACAGCCCTGGCTCACAGGCAGCCTCCTCCCTGCTTGCGCAGAGCATTGTCTACCTGTTCCTGTACTCACAGCAAGCCACTCCACAGACATTACAGCTGTCTGGTCCCTAGCCAGGGCAGAGTAGTTCCCTATAGTATGTTCTCTTGGGCTTTGCCCAGGCCTAATTTTACAAGATTTAGACAATCGAGCTTCCACCACTTCTCTGGGGAGTCTAATTAGAGTCTAATTAGGAGTTTAATAGAGCTCAATGGTAGGGAATAGCTCCTAATATTCAATTTAAATTGTTCCTCCTTTTGCTCCATTTCATCCCATTATTTTTTATTATCCCCACAAACCCCAACCCTGAACAGTTTCTCTCCCTCTAGCACTTGCTCTTGTAGAGTGTTGCCATGTTCCCACCCAATTCTAGCGCTCAATTAGCTGAGCCAGATACATGCATTCAGTTCTCTTAGGCTCCTTTGTAAACAGTCCCTTAACCCTCAACCAGGTACAGCCCGCCTGCAGCAATCCAGCATTCTCCTGATGTTATTGCCATCTCCCCTCAATACACTAGCCTGCTCTCTTCTGCCCATCACACTAAGAGGCTTTGCAAGCCTTCACTCTCCATCTCCAAAGCTGCCCACACACCCACCTGGTCTCTCAGGGTACTTCTACACTGCATTGTCACCCTGGGACTGTGGAACCCAGGCTCATGAACTTGGTATTTCCCAAGCCCATGCTTGAGAGTCCACATTTCATCGTGAATCTGGGTTTACAATTGCTAGACCTGTTTCACACAGTCATGCTAATGCATCTATACTACACTATACAGACCTTCTCACTCCTATCTATGGCTTGACTTAATCCACATTGCAATATGACATGCTTTGGCTCCAAGTCTCAGTAGGACTTGGGCTCTGGCCCTCCTCCCTTCCCTCGGGACCTGGGTCCTGAGTGCTTGCTAACCTAAGTCAGGCTGATCTGTGTGTGGAGGAAAGTGGTGTTTGGGCTTAAATCTGAGTCAGAACAAGCTTACTGTGCAGCGTAGACATATGCTTAGTTTCTAGCCATGTTGCTTCCAGGATCGTACCCCTCTCATCATTGTTATAATAGATATTTAGATGACAGCCATCAGTGTAACATCTGGGCACCCTGTAAAAGGCAAATACCATTTCCCATGCACAGGGAAATAGCAACCCAGGATCATTCTTTAGCACCATGGCACTGAAGGCTGGAAACAAGGAAACTTTGGTGAATAGAAGAATCCATGACATTTTTTTTAAATAGGGGTATTAACTCCTCTCCCTGAGTCTTGACCAAATTTCAGCTTGTGTCATTGCTTTCTTTCACCCTGGTATTTCCACAGCAGTTGGCCTTGATGTGGTTTCCTTTTTTGCTTACTGACCTGAACAGTTTTGCATCCCAGAGGTGGGTGCACTTCAGTCCTGGATAAAGCCATTCATATATACTGTCTTTTACCATGCTGTGCCTAACTGTCATTTCTTTCTCTTTTGAGACAGACATTAAGGCTATGTCTACACTTGCATGATTTTCCGGAAATGCTTTTAACGGAAAAGTTTTCCGTTAAAAGCATTTTCGGAAAAGCGCGTCTAGATTGGCAGGACGCTTTTCCGGAAAAGCACTTTTTGTGGAAAAGCACTTTTTGTGGAAAAGCGTCCGTGGCCAATCTAGATGTGCTTTTCCGCAAAAAAGCCCCAATCGCCATTTTCGCGATCGGGGCTTTTTTTGCGGAAAACAGAACTATGCTGTCTACACTGGCCCTTTCGGGCAAAAGTCTTTCGGAAAAAGACTTTTGCCCAAATGGGAGCAGCATAGTTTTTCCGGAAAAGCACTGATGATTTTACATTAGATCGTCAGTGCTTTTCCGGAAATTCGAGCAGCCAATGTAGACAGCTGGCAAGTTTTTCCAGATGATTTTCTGGAAAAACTTGCCAGTGTAGACACAGCCTAAGAGTTTGTCTCCACTACACCAGTGATCAATGCTGCAACCATCGATCCACTCACTGGCTGTCAATTTATCATGCCTGCTTAGACAAGATAAATCAATCTCTGAGTGCTCGTCTGTCAATGCTGGTACTCCACCAGGCCAAAAAGTAGCCAGAATCAATGGGATAGCCCCACCGACCTTACTGCACACAAGAAACCAAGGAAAATATGTTGACTTCAGTTACGCTATTTGCATATGTGAAGTCACATAGATTAGATCAAAGTGGGGGTTAGTATAGACAAGGCCAAAGACACAGACAAACACAGTTTGTGAATTACTCGATTGATGTTTCTTATGAGTCACACAATATGAACTGAAAATGTAGGCCAGAGAGAGGGAAGAGGATACGAGAGCCTTGAAGAAATATAGGAGGAGAAATACAAGAAAAATAGGAGATGTACCCTTTTTTGAAAGAGGACAAAGGTGGAGAAAGACGCTGAAGAGTGATTTAAGGGAAGAAAAATGAATTAGAGAAAGGAAGGGGGGCAAAGGGAGAACAGAGAAGAGGGAGATGGATGATAAAAAGCCAAGGTATTGTGAAGTGCTTCATCAGCAGCTTGAAACTCGCAAGGCTCCTGCCAAACAGTGACAGTGGCTCCTGTGTCACACAATGAAGCAGCTGCTTCTCTGACCAGTGGAACTACTTTGCTCACTGCTTTTCCCTCTAGACTGGCTCCTGCTTCTGACACTTCTTCGCTCCTCCATGCCCATTCACACTGGCAGCTAAACTCAGCTTCTCTGCCAAGAGGGAAAGGGAGAAAAGGGAACAGCAGAGAGGGGCACACAGAAACCACTCAGACGCGGCAGGCTGAGATGGAGCACAACACATTGCTAAACAAGTCAGACCCGTGCCTGCTACAGGGCTCGGAATATGAAGGAAGGCATGAGAGAAAGCAATAGGAGGGATGGGGATCAGATGAACAGAACTCCTCACCCGACTGGCTTGTGCTGACATTGATGGCTGCGTACTGAGGTGCCTCTGGGCTCAGCTCGGTAACCAGGTTGACGGCCTGGATTTCAAACGTGTACTGCACACGGGCCAGCAAGTTGGAGACCTGCACACGACTCTCTGTTAGCCCCACCTGGCGTGGGTCAAACTGGACGCTGTCCCCACAGCGCACACAGGGCCCTGGAGATCCCGTTGGGCACACCTTACAGATGATATTGAAGAAGACATCCTTGCGACCACCCAGGTCCTTGGGTAAGCGCCAGGTCAAGAGCACATTGGAGCCAATGATCTCATAGCTAACATCACGGGGAGCGGAGGGCGTGCCTACAAGAGAGCAAAACGAGAAATTAAAAACCTATAAAAGACTGACAGAGGGAAAGAAAGAAGAGTAAGGAGAGTAAGAGTGCAGGTTCCTTATTTCACGTATGCTCTCAATCCTCTGCAGAAAATGTTTCAGCTATTTCCTAGAATGAGACTAGGGACAAATACATTGTTTTGACCCTATTAAAAATGTACTTACTTTCAAGTTCTTTAGCACCCTTATGCTTTGGAGCAGGGACTTGAAATTTGGCAAGAGGGTGGCTTTTTTGACAGGGATGAGCCTTGTGTTGTTTTCATGAAAAGCCATCCAATTCATGAGCCTTTCAAAAATTTCAGAATGCACATGTTCAATAGAGATTTGTTATAGTCTGATAACTAAATTCTCTGAACATTCAGTCTGAATGAAGCATGCTGTAGTGAAGGGCTCAGAGGTCCATGTATTCCCTAGTTTTCCCTTTTTATTTTTCTGTTTTCCCCTAAAATCAATAAGATGGTCCTGGACTATCAGTAGATCAATGCCAGCCTGTGCTGTAGGAACTAAGGATGTTAAGGACTAGTCGACTACCCGATAAGCAAATGATTATCAGCTAGTCAAGTCAACCACTTGCTTCCCCGCCTTGCTGCCTCTATCAGATAGAGGTAGCAATGGGGGCGGGAAGAGGGGGTACTTTGAAGCGGCAGCGCTGCATGGAGCTGACCCCGGGCTCCGGGTGGCACTGTCCCTTAGAAATACAGTAAAACTCCGATGGTCCGGCACTCCTGATGGTCCGGCACCATCAGGAACCCAGAAGTGCTCCAGCCAGTCGGACAATTGGAGCTGCTCTGTCCCTGGCTTCCCCAAGTCCGCTGCTGCTGAAACTGACCAGCAGTTGACTTGGGGAAGCCGGGGGCAGAGCAGCTGGGGTGCTGCCGGG